GTTCTCAATCACTGCGTTTTCTATAATCTATATAATTCAATAATAATGATAACAACACAACAATAACCACTAACATTATCAAGTATTAATTAACCAAGAAGTTGAATTATCATATTCATTTTACCGATGAAGAAAGTGAGACCCAGAGAAGTTAAGGAACTTGCCCTCTATCACACAGATGCTCACTGGGGAACCCTGAATTTAATCCTAGAAATGCAGATTTCAGAGTTCTGGGAATTAACCACTACATTTGAGTGACTTCAAACCCAGCTATTTGCCTTTATGCTAGAACACAGTTCTGCTTTGTTCTTATCCATGGCTTATTTATTGCTTTCTCATCCTCCTTGAAGCCATCTCTAGGTTTTAATCTCTGAACAAGGGGACAATCTCACCGTATTCTTCATTTTAACCAGAAACATGCAAAATGTAACTTTATCTTTACTGCTTCCAGCTTTTCCTTTTTTATGTTTTCCAAAAATAACAACAGAGAGCTAATATTTGGTTAGCTTTCACTGTGTGCCTGACTCTCTGTTATGTGTTTTGTTTCTATTATTCCAGTTAATCCTATAGAACAGCCTGCGTGTGGGTTTTTTTAATTACTATCTCCACAGCACAGATGGGAAACTGAGGCTCAGGAATGTTAAAACTTCCCCCAAAGTCACACAGCCAATTCTGTCAGAGCTAACATTCCAGCTCAGGGTCGTTGGATTCCAAAATCCATACTCTTGACCTTTACAATGAACTGCCTCCACCTCTTAAAAGTAGATCTGAGTATATGCGACAGGTAATCATAGGAAAGGAGCGCATGGGAGCAAGCGTTCGTCAGAAGCACCTGGTTCTAAGGCCAGAAGGTTGCGCAAAGGAGCATCCTTTCCTTGGATTCGGATGACTGTTGACAGCAGAGACCTGCAATGGTGACAAACAGCTTTTGATGGTCCTGACAAGGACAGTGATTCTTTGTTGCCATCATATTGCAGGGTCACCCAGCTTTGCAATTCAGAGACTGTCACGTCATCCAGATGTGATCGAGCCATACGGAAATGGCTGATGGTAACCTGCCCGCTGGGGCGCTGATGGAAACTTTATCTGCATATTAATTTACAGAGCAAATAACTCCTGACAGGAAAGATCAGGATGTGAGACCCAGTGACTAGACCCCCTCAAACACTAAGGAAGTTGGAAGTTGCTTACTCTTCTGGGATAATCTCTGAAGATCCTGAGACACCCAGTCAGTAAATTATGGGCACCTGAGTTAGGCATACCCTGTGTCGCCATTTCACAGCTGATCATTCTTAGGAAAGAGACTTGGCCTTTATAAACCTCAGTTTTCTCATTTATAAATCTACAATTAACTCCTATCTTAAGATGTTATTGATAATATTAGCAATACCTGTTAAAGCAGGTGGCACTTTACAAACCTCACCTGTATTACTGTGCCCTATACCAAGATATAGGCATGTGCCTGCTACCCAGACTGAAATATCCATGTTATTTATCCAAGCAGCCTTTCCCCAAAATATTACTGGAGAAAAGGTGATAATACATTTTCATCTCCTTTTCTAATATCACAATTCACTTCCCTAAAATCACAAAAAATAATTCCTGATTTTGCAAATTCTTTAGGTTGGTTTCCTTTAGACCAACTGCTTTCTGATGACATGTACTCTCCTAGGAGGCTTTTCTCCAGGACTTGCTGTAGGGTGTGTTACTTCCATGGAACTTTCCCATGGGGAAGCCGCTCTCTTCTGTGGGATGAGGATTTTTATTTTAGCATGTACTCCAGAAAGTAACACCTACAGACTCATCTCCAGAGTGGTTATTCATATTATTTTAGGTCCCTGTGGCTCTTTATCCTGTGAATGTGGCACCACCGGTACTAAGGGATGGCAGCAAACCTTAATATCAAAAAGATGTCTAGAATAAACTGATGGTTTCCAGATGGAAGGAGGGTAGGGGGGTAGGGTTAAAAAGGGAAAGGGATTAAGAAGTACAAATTGCCAGTTATAAAATACAGTCACAGGGGTATAAAGCATAGGGAATATAGCCAATAATACTGGAATAACTGTATAGTGTCACATGAGTACTAGGTTTATCGGGATGATCACTTCATAAGTTATATTAATGTCTAATCACTATTGTACACCTGAAACTAATATATTGAATGTCAAATGTAATCAAAAAATTTTTAATTAGTGATATAAGAATAAAAACCAACACAATCAGAAAAAAAAAAAAATCTGGCAAGTCCTGAAGATGATTAAAGGATTAGAAAATCTAACACATAAAGAAAATTAAAAGATACTAACATGCTTTATCTCATAAAGGCAAGAAACCAGCCAATGTTCACTGAAGAATGAAACAAGAAAAAATGAAACTGCTGCAATGCAAGAGATTAAGACAAATGTCTGCTATCTTGTTAAATGTGGATGTGAGTTAAATTAGTATGTTATCAACTCTCCTCTTTTGGAGACTCAAATGATATGGTGTAGTTACATCACTGGGATAGTTTGATTGAGACCTAGATGTATCCTTGCCCAAGGGCTGACAGATGGAGCAAATGATCTCTCAGCATCCCTTCCATCCCCACACTTCTGTTTTCCTGATTGTTGGACTAAGATGTTAGCTGAGTCAGATTTGCCCTTGCGAGTTAGTGGAGGAGTCAGCTGCTTAAAAGAAAACAGGTAGACTCTTTGTTCCAAAAATAAATGCCTCTCTACCCTGTTCCAGATTAAATTATACCACTAAAGGTGTATTTTTCCTTGAGTCACAAAGTATTTTTAGTCTTACAGAGTTCCTAACTGAATGCAGACACTGATACCTAAGTGAAGATAAACTCAACCTTATCTGACAAAAACTTAGCAACAAACCGAGACTGGAAATGCAGGAGGAGGGAGTTCCAATGCAGAGAGCAGACAGACATGACTGTTTAAACTGCACCAAATTGAATGTAGTTTTAGGCTTACGCAGAAGGTAGTATTCTTCTTTCTCCCAGCTGAGTTCAGTCATTCATTTTTCAATTAAATTTACTGGGGTAAAATTGATTAATAATATAAGTTTCAGGTATACAATTTTATAATACATCATCTTTACATTGCATTGTGTGCTCACCACCCAAAGTCTTGTCTCCTTTCATCACCATATAGTTGACCCTTTTACCCTCTTCATCCTCCCTTCACCCACCTTGCCCTCTGACAACCACCATACTACTGTCTGTGTCTATGAATTTGTTTTGTTTCTTCGTTTGTTGCTTTTTGTTTTATATCCCACATATGAGTGAAATTATATGGTTCTTGTCCTTTTCCATCTGACTTATTTCACTTAGCATGATGCTCTCAAGATCCATCCATGTTGTCACAAAGTGCAATATTACATCCTTTTTTTTAATGGCTGAGTAGTATTCCATTGTATATATGTACCAGGTCTTCTTTATGCAATCATCCTTCAAAGGACACTTAGGTTGTTTCCATGACTTAGCTATTGTAAATGAACATAGGGATACATGTTTCTTTACAAATAAGTGTTTTCAAATTATGCAAGTTGATATCCAGAAGAGGGATTGCTGAGTCATGTGGTAGCTCTATTCTTAACTTTTTGTGGAACCTTCATAGTGGCTGTACCAATTTACATTTCACCAGCAATGTGCAGGGTTTTCTTTTCTCCACATCCTCTCCAACACTTGTTGTTTCTTATCCTATCGATAATAGCCATTCTAACAGGTATGAGGTGGTATTTTATTGCAGGTTTGATTTGCATTTCCTTTATAGCTAATGAATATCTTTTCATATAACTGTTGGCCATCTGTCTTCTTGGGAAACATGTCTGCTCAGGTCTTCTACCCATTTTTAAATTGGATTGTTTGTTTTGTTGTTGTTGGGTTGTAGTTCTTTATATATTTTGGATATTAGCCCCTTATTGAAGGTATCATTTGCAAATATACAATCATTCTTTCAATGACTGTGGAATTCCTACTAGTGCAGTGCACTTGACAAAACACTAGGGACACTACAGCAAGCAAAACAGATGTGGCTCTTGTTTTCCTGAAAAACATTGAACACGTGGTAAACACATAGCGAATTACTATATGAGGTCCACATGCATGCAACAGATAACAACTTAGTTGCTAATATGCACAAAGTACCATTCTAGGTACTTGAATGGGATGGTAACCAAATGGACAAATTATTTGCCCTCATGGAACTTGAAGAAGTCAACAATGAAAGCACAGGTGTTCTAAGAACTATGACAAGGAGACATACCCTAGCTGACAAGTCCTTCCTGAGAAAGGGATGTTTCTATTGACATGTGAAGACCTGGTAGGAACTGGTGAAATGCATGTGTTGGGGAAAAAGGAGGTACCTGGAGAGTGTTCCATTTAAAGTTCCCAAACATTGTCAAACTACAACAATTTGCTTGTATAGTAGGACAAATGGTAATTTCTATATTTCTTTTTCTCATTATTATTAAAATATTTTTGCAATAAATAATTTTAAACAATATCAAAGTCATACTAATAACTGTTATTTCAGTTTTACCTTGAGCTTTAATGTATTGGTCTTAAATATGTTTTTGTTGATTTTTTTAGAGAGGAAGGAAGGGTGAGATTGAAACATCAATGTGAGAGAGAAACATCAATCCACTGCCTCCTGCACACCCCCTACTGGGGAACAAGCCTGCAACTCAGGCACATGCCCTGACCAGGAATCTAACTGGGACCTCTCAGTCCATGGGATGACTCTCAATCCACTGAGCCACACCAGCAGGGCTAATGTATTGGTCTTTAAACTTATAAATTATGAGCAAATTTAATATGGATATGATATAATTTAAAGAACAAGTTCAAAATCAAATAGGAGTTTTACCCTAGTGATTCAAGTACTAGGGAAAATTTCCAAATGTGTTTGATGTTACTGAATGCAAACAAGATAACATATTTGACATTGTGACATGGATCTTTCCCACCTACATTGAATATGAATTATAGGTTGGTTCCTGCACTACAGGTGGACCTGTGGCAGCCCAGCAGTGTCTCCTATGTCTCAGAGGGATCAGTTACTGATGTCCGTATTCCTCAAAATGGTTCCCGAATCTTGTTAGCCTTCCTACAGGAAGCCAACATCCCACACAAGTAAGCATTTTTTTCATTGCTTAGTTCATCTGTACTAAGTTGAACTGAATGATAGCTGTATTCAGGTTATTTACTAATTTCCAATGACAATGTTTTAGGTACTGTTTAGCAAATTGGGAAAACAAACATGAATATAATAATTATATTTACTTTTGAGCTTATTAATATAACAGGAGGAGAGAGGAACCACATTGACATATTATCTCATCACCACCACTAAATGATCAGTATAAACACAAAAGTTTGTTTTTGTTTGTTTGTTTGTTTGTTTTTCCTGTGGGAGGAAAGGAAAGGAGCCTAGCAATGCCTAGAAGGAGATTGGGAAGGCAGGGACAGAGGAAGCTTTCTGCAGGAGCCGTTCAGTTAGGCAAAGGATGGACCTTGCAAGGAGAGGGAAGAATCAGCATAGTGTGTTTGCAGGAAACTGGTGTAGTTCAGTGTTATTAGTGTACAAAGTACAAATCATAAAGTAGAAAGAAGAAATACTGGAGGTCAGGTTGTGGGAAGACTGATGTACAGGTTTAGGAGCTCAGACCTTTTCCTGAGGGTGGTGCTGCACAGGTAGAAGATGTAAGCAACTGCATTCTCCATCCACATGTAACTGGATGGAGACTGCAGTCATGATCCAGGTAAGAGATAGTGAGACTCTGAGTCACAACCAGAGTAGTGGGATCAGGAGAGTAGTTCAGAGGCAAAACCAACTGGACTCCACACTTGATTGGAAGAGGAAGAAGTCAAGGATGATGCCAAGTCTTCTAGCTTAAGTGACTGAGCAGACAGATTCAAGCAGATTTAGATATTTGGATATTTTGAGGGTTTTTAAAGAATTAATTAGAGTAGTAGAAATAAAGTAAGTAGAAGATACTCATGGGAGTCAAAGAAGAGATGAAAGACTTTCAAGAGAGGAAACATCAGTGGTACCAAGTGCTGCAGTGATACCAGCAAGAAAGGGATTGGATTTGGCAATAGCAACTATGTTGGTAACTCTGATGGTGGGATTAGATTGTCAGGAGCAGGAGACAAAGAGTGACCAGGAGGTGAGAACATGGAGCAGCAGAGCAGATAACTGCTCTTCGAAGGTAGAATAAGGAGAGAAGCAGAGAAAGGGGAGGGACTACAGGAAGATGCAGCATCAATGACTGCTTGAGATTTGGGATTTGTTTGGGGATAGGGCAATTTGGACTTGTCTATAGCCTGAGGAGAAGGACCAGTATGGAAGGACATGATGATGAGACAAGAAAGAACAGGTGGAGGCATGAGTTTGAACAGTAGAAAGGAAATTTACTCACTAAGATGGAAGAGGTGAGTATAGGACTAGTTGAAAAATATCATAACTGATGGCTAAATGTTCTGAAGTAAGAAGCAAGATTATCTTCTGAAAGTAAAGAAACAAAGGTTTTCCAAGAGGAAAACTAGAGTAGAAACCAATAAAAGTACTTGTTGCAGAGAACAGAAATTGTATTCCTGCTAAAAAGTTGAGATTTCATTGGACAGGACAACAGAAAGGTCAAGGTCCCAAGGAAGTTGAAGTTCCTAGTGAAGTACTAGCTCAAGTATTCATCCATGTGGTCTAATCTGGATAGGAAAGGAGGAGAGTCTCAGAGGAATGATGGGACAAAACAGAAGAATCAAGGAAGGGATGAAGATCTTTTTATTTAAAACAGGTGTAATGTGACTAAGGAAAATAAACTGAAAGGAAGGAAGTTCTGACAGAGTGTTGGCTATTAGATATTAAGACTTCTAGGGTAGAACATTTATGGCTGGTGACAAGATCCAGGAGGTAGCCATGAGGGAGATGGCTGAAGTGCAGTGGAGATCATTAAGGCTGATGTGGTCAAGAGTGTGTAGGCTAAATCACCAGAGAATCATCATAGCAGTTTTGAATCTCTTTGGTTAATGGCAAGATTAGAGGTGGAGAGAGAGACTATTACAGGATGGAGAAAAGCAACTAGGTATGGTGTGATGCTGAAGAAAGAATGAGCTTTTCCAGGAAGTAAGAAGAGTAAGAAGGAAGCAGAAAGGAGGGTGCAGAAAATGCTGACCTCTCTCTATCTCTTTGGGCCCTATGGTAAGTGAAGTAGAAGAAGAGAAAGCCACAAAAGAATCTGCATCCTTGCCTTGGCTGGTTTTACTCAGTGGTCAGAGCATTGGCCTGCAGACTGAAGGATCTCAGGTTTGATTCCCGGTCAAGAACATGTGCCTGGGTTGCAAGTTCAATCCCTGGCCCTGGTCAGGATTGTGCAGGAGGCAACCAACTGATGTATCTCTCTTGCATTGATGTTTCTCTCTCTCTCCCCCTCCCTTCCACTCTCTCCAAAAAAAGTCAATGGAAAAATATCCTCGGGTGAGGATTAATTAAAAAATAAATAAATAAAAGAATCTTAAGAGAGTCCAATTTCTATTGGGGCAAGAATATAAGGAGAGAGAGTTCTCTGAAGAGAGAGTGGAGGGTGTGGGAAGCTTATGTACAATGAAAGGGGGATTCCAGCAGGTACGAGGGAAAAGGAAGCGGTGGAAGGATGGAGAATCAATGCAGGACATGAAGTTATGCAGGACAATGCAATATAGTGAATTAATGAGACTGGACTGAGTGACTTACCTTTTATGTGGAAACCTAGGATTTGGGGACTGATAAGCATGGATGTCAATGACTAATCTTAACTACCCCAACTTTTTTAGCAAGTTCTAGTATTGCCAAAACAAGTACAAAGATCTGTAATGATGTATGGCAAGGCGTGGTACGGGCTCATGGCTCTGGGGATTAATGGTGAAGGCCCTAGTCTCTGTGGAAGGCTGGGCCAAGGGGTGCAACATGACAGTGACATCTGTCCCTGGTCCACACGAACCCTTCCAGAAAAATGAATGCAGCCTCATTAAAGTGCTGATTTGCTTTTTTCAGTAAGATATTTTTTTCTCTTTATTTTCTTATTAAAGAGAGAGAGAGAAACATCGACGTGAGAGAGACACATCGAGTGGTTGCCACGCACACAACCTCAACCAGAGCCAGAGACAAACTGCAACACCAAGGTACGTGCCCTTAGCGGGAACCAAACCCAGGTCTCTCTGGACCTCAGGCTGATGCTCTAACCACTGAACAAAACTGGCCAGGGCTCAGTAAGATTATTTTATCTGTGTTTCTACAACAGGATAGAATCAGACATGTGCATAAAACTATTGTTCATATTAAAAACATTTTAGTCATTGTTATAGCTTTGAATCTCTGAATGCCTGGCAGGAAAGAGCTTGGTAATTATATCTATAGGTGCTCAGTAACAACTCACATGCTTCACTAATTATTATTCAGTAGAAAAGAATATACCAGTTCTTTTAACAAGTCTCTATTTCCTGCCATTAAATATAGGTCATGTGGAACTAACACAGAATAAAACATCACACTGTATGTCACAGAGAATAGAGTCTAAAAAAATGAGTGTTTTAACCTCATGGAGAACAGTCATTTAGAATTATTCATTTTATTGGTCTGAGGATAATAACACATAAGAGTCCATTAAATTCCACAGGACCAGTAGGTAGAGATTATTTTAATTGACTTTTATTATTGTAGCCTGGGGTATTTTCAAAAGATTATCATTTACTCTATACAAGTATACCTAATATATAGCTATAGTCATCTTTAAAGCAGAGATAATGTGCTCCCTCTCCCTCCCCCACCCCGTGTGTCTGGCTCCTAGGTGATCAATTCCTCTTAATGACATGACAGATAAGAGGACATTCTGCCATAAGAAAAAAATTAATCATTTTGTGTAAATTAAATACCTGTAAAAATTGGTCATGGAATTGAAAATTCTGAGCCCCCGTCCCCCCCACCCCCACCCCCCCACCCTTCCACCCTGGAAGCTTGTACTAGTGATGAAATCACTTGGTAACTTCTTCATAGGAGCACATACAGTTGGGGTAGAAATAATAATCAGCTATGAAGAACTAAGAAAATATAACAGTTACAAAAACATTTTTGGGTTCCATTTCATGGCCTTCTCAACAATCTGCTAACTTGCAATCAACTATTTAATGAGGAAAATGGGCTACACCTGCCACATCACAATTATTTTAATGTTCAGGTTGATCTCTTAGGGCCTGTATTTAAGGTTAAGCTATTGAAATGTATTAGTTTACTAGGGCTGCTATAACCAAGTGCCACAGACTGGCTGGCTTAAGAAACAGAAGTACATCGCCTTATGATTCTGGAGGCTAGAAGTCTGAAATCCAGGTGTAGGTTGGGGTGGGGGGTTCCTTCTGAGAGCTGTGGGAAAGGCCCTGTCTCAGGCCTCTTCTCTTGGTTTATACTTAGCCATCTTCTTCCTTCGTCTCTTCACACTGTCTTCCCTCTACACATACCTGTCTTTGTGTCTTAATTCTCTCCCCCTTTTTACAATGTTTGTTCTGCCAAGAGCTACCAAAAAAACAGTGCTATCAGCATCAGAACTTCAAAATCTTCTGGTGATGCATGTGAGGGACTGCTCTTATCTAGAGTGGAAACAAGTTATCTGCACTTGTTTATGTTTAGAAAGTCAGTCCACTTTGGAAATAATGCAAAACCAATGCACTACAGCTCCATTTTGGAAACATTCTGAAAAAATGTACACACTTGAAAACTTTATTTTTGTGTTTCTATATTTCATCTTTTTAAAAACTGAAAATTCAGAAGGAGATTCCTGTGTAGATTGCTTAATCAAACTTGAGTCTTTCCTCACCATCCCACATTCTCTCACAACACAGTAAATTGGAATATTTATATGAAAGTTCCTTTGATTCTTAAGACCTACACCAGCAATACTTTAAGTTATTTTTAGTCCATATGAGCCTACTTTCTTTCTTTTTTTTTTTAATGTGTTTTTTTTTGGGGGGGGGGGGAGAAACATCATTTGGCTGCCTCCTCCACACCCACGCTGGGGATTAAGCTCGAAACTTGGGCATGTGCCCTGATCGGGAATTGAACCAGGACCTCTCAGTCCATGGGACGATGCTCAATCCACTGAGCCACACCAGCCAGGCTATACGAACCTACTTTCATCTAGAACTTCTTTCTTTGAGGAAAGAAAGAAAGAAAACACTAACACAGATCGTGTTCAGACTGACATCTAATGCTCTACTGCAAGTAGCTGCCAATAGAGTTACCAACTTTGTGTCACCCTACTTTATCTGAATAGTTAATGTTTCTATTTTTAAAGTCAAAAATTGAAGCAAAAAGAACAGTAAGCCAATAATAAATTCCTAAGTATTTGTCCACATTGGGTGAAATACTCAGTAAACAAATGAATCAGAAGGACTGTCCTACATCCATCATGACTCTAAATTAACTCACTTCCTCATGGACCAAAAAGTGTTTGTTCAGGTAATTTAAGATAATTTTTTATGAAGTGGCTTATATAGCTCAACCTTGAAAGCCATTTAAGATGCCATTACACGTTCACTGAATAACACTTAAGCCACTAAGCAACAGTTCTTTTGGAAGATAAATATAAAAGCAAAGATTTTTAGTTATCTTCCAGACCCACAAAAATCATTGAGAGGCCCTTCAACAGCTTTAAGTATTCTATATGAATGTGTTACTTCATGGCGAGTTACCTCTAGTTAGAGGACATGGTGGGTATTAGGGAGACAAGCCTATACCCAGCCCAGGTGTCTCATCAAGAATACTAATGACTACAGCTGAGCTGGTTCCACCCACTGCAGGAACCCTGGAATCCCGCTCCCTGGCCTCATCCTTCACTTTCCAAATGCATCCACTTCGATTAGCTGAGCTTGTCTTCTCTTAGCGTTCTTCAGATTGTCAGGCAGTGAAATTCATTTCTACCCCACTCTGTATTTTCTTTAATTTCCTTTTGAGGACGATAGCTTCTTTCCTTCTTTTCCTTTCCTCTCTGACTCTTGGGTAAGGTGTGCTAGGGGATGACATGAGGAAGTCTCTCATAGTGAAAGGGACAGGAGCAGACAGACACGCAGGAAAGGAGGTGTGATGGAGTGGAAGAGTCCGTCTAGTTTCCGTTTTCATAATGTCACACTGGGCTTGGAGTCCAAATACTTGAATTTGGGTTCCCTTTCCAAGTTCAAATTCTGGTTCTGCGCTCACTAGCAGAGTGACGTTGGCAAGTTCTTCACCCTTTTGAGGCTCACTTTCCCAACTTGTAAAATGGAGATAACAATGAAATTGTATTTATACACATATTCAGTTCTCGTAGCTGATCATTCCATTGTAGTTATTATTACTATCATTATTATTAGGGAACATCTGCTTATAATTTAACATTTTATATTTATTATACCTCTTACTTAACAGCTATTATTTTCTGAAAAAGAATATTTTCCAACATTTGATATTCTTAGAAATGTCAGTCTTTGCTACCCTCTTTTCATAGATGCATCATTTTCTTTTGCTATTACCTTATTTTTATATTTTTCTCCATTTAATTTTCATCGTGTCTTTCATTTCAAATCCAGGATCCTCATAGACAATCTTCAGAAAGCACTGGAAAGAGAAAGAAGTTTGCAAGCCCAGAGAAATCGAAGATCCCTTTCTGAATATAATTATGAAGTTTATCACACCTTAGAAGAAGTATGTAATCAAAGGAGCTTTTATTGCTTTTTTGAAAAATTCGGTTTTTATCAGATGCAAGGATTGGGAAGGAAGCACTGAGGCAGAGGCAGGGGCTATATGCAGAATATCTGTATCTCTTTATATTGCCCAGGCACCTCAGGTTGGTCCTCTCTTCCATTAAGCCTTAACTAACTGCTATATAAGAATTAGCAAAATAATTTGAATTCATCTGCTTTGCCCCACCCAACCCCTACAAAGGACATGGGAAGTGCATTGGAACAGTAATGTTGCTTTAATTGTGCTTATAAAATTAACTTACAAGCCTGATGCACTTATTGATGGAAGACAGAGCTAGCCAGAGTTTGAGGGCAATGATTTGGTTGAGGGGTAGAGTGATTCTTACCCCACACCCTCTGCAAAGCTGAGAACTCCCAAAGGCCAAGCTTCATCTGTGGCATCTCAGGGCTTATTAACATGCTGTTATTTATCCTACCTGGAAAACACAGCAACCTCGTTCCCACTACCATATCCTTTACTGTTCACCTAGAAAATTCTGCAAATCTCAGCTTAAGCAGGAAGACAGCTGTTTCTACTCTCCCATACTGGATCAGAACTCCAACCCCCAGCACACTGCATGCACCAGAGCACATGGGTGCATGATTATTTCATCAATGCCTTTTCTCTACAAAGCTGCAAGTACCAATAGGACAGGACATTTCTTGTTCACCACTATATCCCTAGTGGCAAGCAAATAGAGACCTCCAAATAGATAGAGGACACAATGAATAAATGAATGTGTACATATTTTTCCCATGCTTCCTCTGAACTCAGCAAAGGAATGCCAGACATAGAATTTATGAGATCCTGTTATAGTCTTAAGAAAAATTTTGGTTCTCTTGATAATGACTTTCCTTTCAAAATTATTTCTACATATTTTATGTTACAGTAAGGAAAGGTTTTAGATAACTTAACACATGGAAGTGCTATTAACAGGAACTAGAAAAAAAGTCAAAATTTTAAAATATATCTATATAGATATATATACATATATATACATATATATGTACATAGACTCATTAGACTAAGAAGGGTAAGAAAAAATATGGTACTTTCCTAAGTCTTTTTTTTCAGCACAGACTCACTTTTACATCATAAAACACTGGGACACTTTTGTGTGACTTCCTTACTCCTCATAAAGCTTTTAAGTCAGAAATGTCACCCATCTTTCTAAGTGCCTTATTCATCCATCTCAAATACACCTTCTCTGATGACAGATGAGTGTTTGTGAAAGGACTGATACAAATGCATCACTATCGCAGGGGAATTTATCTAGACTATGCCCTCTGATGTGTGGCTCAATACAAGACCTTTAAATGCAAAAAATAACAATAATGTTTTTTTTCTCAGCATCTTCAGATCAGTAGCAAATTACAATACAATGTATTGGACTTTAATGAACACTTTCAAGTAGTTTGAATGATTTTCTTGAAGTCAATTTTTTTTTCCTCTTCAATACTTGGAGGTAAAAGAAAATAAATTTTGATTTTTTAAAAGGAACCCAGAACACACTGACTAATTTTCTGTAACATTCTGCATCAAGATATTAGTGAAAAATGGTAGTAGAAGGTATGCTTTAAAGAGGGAACAGTACACAGACACGAAACTATTATTTGTAAAGGCTGCAAATAAAAGGTAACTTGAAATATCCTGAAGAAATGTAACATAGAGAATTGGTTTTGTTCAATTTTGTATTTCATGTGTGCTCTTTGAGTTCTGAGACCTATTGTTGTCTTGTTATCTTTGATTCTTCAAAAGCTGTGTAATTATGGGAGTCTGACATAGTCTTTATTTATTTGCTTTTAGATTCAAAATTGGATGCATCATCTGAATAATACTCATTCAGGCCTCGTCCACATGTTCTCTATTGGGAAATCATATGAGGGAAGACCTCTCTTCATTTTAAAGGTAAAAACAGGAAATTATTTACTAAAATATTTACTAAACATTTGTTCTAACTTTGACCTATGGGGAAACAAAATGAGATGGTCGGTGATAATGTCTAATACTTAACATTATCTGATAATTTATGAAAAAAAATTTTGCTTAGGTTTTTAAGCCACATTGAATTTTTGCCATTAAATATTCCTAAGAATACTAACATATTCCATTATTAATGCACCTAAAAATACTGGCCTTCAAAATGATTTGTGAGCCGGTGCTACTTAAGATGAACCAATGCAAAACTACGTGTGCGTCATTCCCAGCCCTTGGTCCTGCATTCTCTTCCTGTCACTGACTACCGCTCTGTATCTCTTAGTCAAACACTCAAAAAGATTTATAATAAAACATCACTCTCTACTTTCTTGCCTCCTATTCAGACTTGACTCACTGGCCTTTGCTCCCCCACCGCTCCTCTAAACCTTCTCTTGCCAAAGTCAATGATGACCACTAGGTTTTCCTCCCATCTCGCTGGCCGTTCCCTCAGGTCTCATTCTCTGGCCCCTCATCCCTGTCCTTTCCTTAGGTTCTAGCAATCCCGGACTCTATCCTCAAATGTGCTCTCATTCTACGAACAACCTCTAGGTGAGCATATCCACTCCATGGTTTCAACAATCATTCCAGACTTTGCTGTTCAGTAGAGTCCACTCTTTGGAGCTTTAAAATTCATTTATCATTGCCAGCTTTACATTTTTACCTCCATAGTCACAAAAGCACCTCCCCTCAGAATGGCACCTGTCTGCTCCCAGTCTAAAAACATGAACATCATCCCAAATTCCTCGCCTTTAATTTAACCACCTGTTTAAAATCTACCACCAGGAATGTTCATTCTTCCTTGTAAATATCTTTTGGATCTGCACCAACCTCTTCTCTTGTCCTCACTTATCTCTGGATCCATTCCTTGCGGATTATAGCAATAATGGCCTCAGTACTGAATTTCAAGACCCCAGCCTCTGCCCTCTCATCCTCTAACCCATCTCCACACTGCTGTCAGTGTGAGTGTTCTCTCTCTCTCTCTCTCTGTCTCTCAGTCTCTCTCTCTCTCTCTTCGTCCCCCTCCCTCCCTCCCTCCCTCCCGTTCTCTCTCTCTCTCTCTCTCTCTCTCTCTCTTGCTCTCGCTCTCACTCCTGTCTCCCTCCCCCTCACTCCACACACACTCCTCCCATGGAATTCAGAATGAAGCCTTCTCTCTTTTACATAGTATTCAGGAATTTCATGTGTTCCCTGCCTCTGTGTCCAGCTCCATCTGCCATTCCTTCCTCATACCCAAGAAGCAGTTCCTCAGATATGGTGTGCTCAGATTCTCTTCCAAGTTTCTGTTGCCTCTTCCAACTTGTCCACCAGAAAATCTTCTAGTCTTGCTCAAATACCGGAGTGCTCAAGAAGATAACGACTCCTTTGAGAAGGCTTCTTTAATTTGTTCAGGAAAAATCAGACATGTTGCCCTGGCCAGTGTGGCTCAGTTGCTTGGGCATTGTCCCATGCACCAAAAGGCTGCTGGTTCGATTCCTGGTCAAGGCACATGCCTGGCTTGTGGGCTCGATCCTCAGTGGGGGGTGTGCAGGAGGCAGCAGATTGATGTTGAGCTCTCACATTGATGTTTTTCTCTCTTTCCCTCTCCCTTCTTCTCTCTCTAAGAAATCAACAACAAAAAATCTTTAAAATAAATTAGACACTGCCCTGCCTGGTTTGGCTCAGTGGTTAGAGCGTGGGCCCTTGGACCGAAGAATCAAAGGTTCAACTCCCAGTGAAGGGCATGCACCTGGGTTGCAAGTTCGTTCCCCGCCCCAGTGAGTCATGCCAGAGACAATCAATCAATGCATCTTTTCACATTGATGTCTCTCTCTCTGTCTCTCTCTCTCTCTCTCTCTCTCTCTCTGTCTCTCTCTCTCTCTCTCTCTCTTCTCTCTCTCTCCTCTCTCTCCCCCTCCCTTCCTCCCTCCATCCCTCCCTCCCTCCCTTCCTCTCTTCCTCCCTCCCTCCCTCCCTCCCTTGCACACTATCTTAAAAAATCAATGGAAAAAAATATCCTTGGGTGAGGATTAACCAAAATAAAAGATAATAAATATATAAATTAGACATATTCCCATGTTCTAGAACATCCCCATGTTTCTAAAGTAACTTATGCATATTCACATCATAATGATTAATTGCTCATATGTCTGCCCTCCCTACTGGCATATAAATCCTATCTTTCATCTTTGAATCTCTGGTGCTGAGTACAATGTCTGACATTGAGAAGGATTTTCTGAAGTATCAGTTAAGTGAATTAATGAATAAATGAAAACTAGATCCCCTATAAATACAATGGCAAGAGCCACCTATTGATTACTGGGTGAGAAACCAGGTTAAAAGCAATATTAGGATTATAAAAAAAAATCTGTCATTCGATTCTACAGTTCAGGTTGGTTTGTGTTGAAATCAAATTTGATTTTGTCCACCTATAAAACATAGCTAATTCATTACAAAAGATTCCTTGGGAATATTTCTGATTCCTTGGATGGAGAAGGGGTTGAAAATTTGACTTTTCACTTAACAGTCATGTATTATATTAAAAGAGAGAAACAAACCTATTTAAGAGATTGCCATTTTCCTTGTGTATTTTCCAGTTCTTTGACTTGTAATTAGGGCAATAATTTTTTTATTTCTGCATAAACAGGTATGGACTTCTAAAATAGATAGGGAATCTTTTTCTCCTTTTTATGGGTTACCTAATGAAACCTTATTAAATTATGCTGGTTAGTAAATCCAAAAATAAAAGCCTGCATTGGTTATTTTGAATACTCTTGTTTTCAGCTGGGCAGGAGATCACGAGCTTATAAAAGAGCTGTCTGGATAGACTGTGGTATTCATGCAAGAGAATGGATCGGTCCTGCCTTTTGTCAGTGGTTTGTAAAAGAGGTAAGTTAAACCCTTTATACAATGTCCATTTCAGCCTGCCAGTGGTTCCCATGGGTTTTCATTCTGTTCAAGGAACAAAACTGGGAACATGAAGCCCGGATACCTGTTTGAATGATAACACCTTGATTTTGTGAGTCACTGTCATGTTTATGAAGACCTCTTATATCCCTGGCTCAGTTCATCCTCAACCTCATTAAAGAGAAGGAACCTGAGATTCAGAGCATTTATGAATTTGTGACAAATTAGGAACCAACCATAGTAGCTGATATAGGGCAAAAGGCTAAAAATCAAATGTATGGTATTCAGGAGCAGTTTCTCATATAATATTCAGCTTGGAAAATTCTACATCATTCATCTTCTCTGTCAAAATGATTTCACATATGCTATAACAATAAAGAGATGAGCAAGTGATTGATTGCACTTTCCCTTCCTGCTATGGATCTGTAATTTAGATACCGAAGACCTTTAACATCTGTGGATTTAACATTCTTGGTATCAGTCTTTTTCATTGACTCTAATGGTTAATGACTCATAGTGATTTCTCATTTTCCAAAGGCTTCTGTAGGTTAGTGTATCCAGTGTGTCCCTATGTCAAGAGTGGGCCAACCTCATGAACCATCTTAGCATGTACCGATATTTTTCTATCCATTGTCAAGAATGTAATGACTTTCATGGTGTCTTTTTTTAACCTTGACTTCTTTTTTTTTTTTTTAAGAGTCTTAAAAGAAAACCAACCACTAGTTCTGGTAATGAAAGTGAAGAAGGCTAAGGAAATGAAGGTTCTAAGCCAGAAAATAACCTTACAAATATGTTTAGCCCTGTAGAACCACTAAGGATACAAAGATATTTTTAAAGTTTAGTTCTATTTCATTGTGTTTTATGGGGAAATTATGTGCCCTAGCGAGGTTTGAGATTTTGAGGACTGTCCTAGTCTTGGAAAGTATCCCTCACAAATGTCAAGAATGTATTAAATTTGTAAAATCTGCCTCTGCCAATACCAAACTCACAAAAGTACTCTTTATTCTATAAAGATTAGATAATAATAAAATTTTCAATCTATTCCCACTCAGCATATTGAGCAATTCATATTCTTTAAAATACCACTTTACCCTGGTATGACAAATGCAAAAGCTAATAAGAAATTAATTGTATTACCTTGTATTAAATATCCATTGTATACATACAACATATTGTGTGCTGTCTCAAGTTTCAAAAAGAGGAAAAATTGGTTAAGTACAGAACACCTATTGTTTATAGACTAGGGTCCAGTGTATCATTGAAGGACATAAGAAATTATCTCCCGCTCTGGCCAGTTTGGCTCAGCAGCTGGAGCATTGGCCTGCAGACCAGAGAGTCCCAGGTTCGGTTCCCGCCAGGGGCATGTACCAACAAAAAAAAAAGAAAGTATCTCCCGGACATTTTACCTCACCCCTGTATGTGCAGCCTCTTCTTTATAACACCTAAACTCACTTTATATGTTCATGGCATTATCATCTCTTTTTATACCAAGGGCAGAGGCTCTATTTATCTTGTTCATTGCCAAATCCCCAACACTCAGAACAACACCTGGCATTTAATAGATCTTCAAATATTTGTTAATGAATGGGAATAATGAGAATCCAGTGGTAATGATGTGGAAAGATTTCAAGAGATGACTTGTCAAATCATCTCATGCAATATGAATGGTACCACCTGGATTTTTGCAAGGCACAGTCTGTACAGTCAAATATGGCAGCTCTATAACTCAAGGTAAATGTCCAAGGAAAAGTAGGACACAGTGTAACCACAGAAAAAGAAAGAGGCACATATGGTGACTGCCAATTGAGTGTACTTGATTTTGAAGCAAAAGCAAGAAGCAACCTGACAAGAATTGGAACAGCATCTCTTACACACTAACTCAGTCCCTTGTTAAATCCTCAGTCTCCAAAAGAAGGTAGGGGGAGGCTGGTCCAAGAGGGGTTCCAATAGCATGCCTTCTACAAGTCCTTCACCACAGAAGTCCCCTGAAGAGCTCCCAGGTTCTCAACTCATCTAATATCCATGCCCCCTCTGGGGACACCAGGGAACCTCTGGGCTCTCTCTCTGCCTCCCAGGAGACTATAGGATGCTCTGTCTATCCCTCTCATTTGACACATGACACACTTCTGATTGTCCCCTCCTGTATTTGTCCGTTACTGCATGCAGGAACACATGAGGGGACGTCCTCTCAGACACAGGGTAAACAGGACAGAGGTCCTCTTTCTTTACCTTTTTTATTTCAGTCTGTCAGTGGTCTCTGCCATCTCTTGATTTCTCTGGAGTACCAACGCCAACAGAAGAGAGTAGTGTCAGAAGCCAAAAAATTGACTTCACCTTTGCTTTCTCTCTTTCTTGAGTGCTTTAACCCATACTCAACAGCTTAAAATGACAGATAGCAATCCAGGCACAGGTTAGCCAATGCCTCTTGCTCAGGATATCCCACAAACTCTAGGAGCTTCTTTCTGGGCTTGTGTGGGGGAGGGTCTGCTTCTGAGCTCACTCAGGTGGTGGCTAGTAGCAGCTGGTGGCCTCCGGCCTCCACAGGGCAGCTCACAACACAGCACCTGTCATCCCTCAGAGCAGAAGAGGGAGAGAGAGCAGGCTCAAGCTGGAAACCACAGTCTCTTTGTAACCTAATCTCAGAAGTGACATCCCATCACTTTTGCCATATTCTGTTCATCAGAATAAATCACTAGGTCCAAAACATATTCAAGGGAGGGTATTACAAGAAGAGTTTGAGTACCAAGAGCTGGGACTTGGAGAGTAGCTGAGACTTCAAGGCTGCCTACTGTATCTTGTGGGACTATCCCCACAGCCACCACTGTAATGTTTACATCCTTACTCCAGTGTGAACCGGAAGAAAATGTATCCAGTGCTCTGGGATTCTGATAGAACAACAGATTGCATGTCGGTTACATGCACACGTTTTACAGTAGACAGCCCTGGGTTGAAATGCTAGCTCTGCCATTTACTTGGTGTGTGACTTGGTGGGCAAGTCATTCAACCTCTCTGAACCTCAGTAATAATAATATGTGACACATTGGGTTATTGGGGAGATTAAATGATATACTACATGTAAAAGACTTAAGAAAGTGCTTAACATATAATAAGCACTTAATAAAATCAATGTTTGCTTTAACTACAATTTGGTATTTTAAAATAATCAACATAGACTCATTAGGGAAGAAACCAACAAGAATATGAAAGAACTCAAAAACACGGTCGACCAATAGAATCTGAAGGACATTTATAGATCACTCCACACAACAGCAAACTACACATTCTTTTTTAAGTGCCTATGGAACATATATCAAGCTATAACATATCTTGAGCCAAAAAACAGACCTTCACAAATGTAAAAGAATTAAAATTATACAGACTCTGTTCTCTGACCACAATGAAATCAATCTAGATATCGATAGCAGAAAGATAATGGGAAAACCTCCAGACACTTGGAAATTAACATGCTTTGAAATTATCCATGGATCAAAGATACAATCTCAAGGGAAAAAATTTAAATGTATTGAACTGAATGAAATGAAAATACAACATATCAAAATTTGGGGACACAGTTAAAGCAATGCTGAGAGAAAATTTTACAGCATTGAATGCATACATTGGAAATCTCAACATACTAATCTAAGCTCTCACCTCAATCTAGAAAAAAAAACATAGAAAATAAAAACTAAAGCAAGCAGAAGTAAGTAATATTGATCAGAGTAGAAATCAATGAAATTGAAAACAAAATCAGAAAGAAAAAAATATCAGTGAAACAAAGAGCTGGTTCTTGAACATGTCAATGAAATTAACAAAACTCCAGCAAAGGAGACAAAGAAAAAAGGTAGAAGATACAAATTACCAATATTAAAAACAAAATAGGAGATATCACTGCAGACCCTGCTGATATAGAAAGGATAATAAGACAATACTATGAATAACTCTACACATATAAATTTGACAACTTAGATAAAATGGATCAATAAATTGAAAAACTACAACTCATTTATATGCAACAGATAATTTGAATATCCATATTACTATTAAGGACATTGAATTCATGATTTAAAATTAAAGAAATAATCTCTTGACCTAGATGGTTTCACTGAAGAATTCAACCAAACGTTCAAAGGAAATTAACACCAATTCTCCACAATTTCTTTTAGAAAATAGAAGAGAACACTTTCAATTCATTTTACAAAACTAGTAATTGCCCTGATACCAAAATCAGACAAAGACAATAGAAAAAAAAGAAAACTACAGACTAATATCTTTCATGAAAATAGATTCAGAAATCCTGAACAAAATATTAGCAAATAGAATTTAGTAATCTATAAAAATAATTAGGCACTGTGGCCAAGTGGGGTTTATTTCAGGGACATAAGACTGGTTGAATATTTGAAAGTTAATCAGTGTAATCTACCATAGTAACAGGCTAAAGAAGAAAAAAAATATCTGCTTCCCCATAAAATCAGGAGCAAGGTAAGGAGATCCACTCTCACCACTCTTAATTAATATAGTGTTGGAAGTTCTAGTCAGTACAGGCGAGAAAAGGAAATAAAAAGCATACAGATTGTAAAATATTAAGTGAATTATCCTATTTGTAGATGACATGACTGTCTACATTAAAAATCACAAGGAATCTACAGAAAAATGTATAGAATAAGTGAGTTCAACAAGATCACAGGACACAAGATTAACATACAAAAATCAATTATATTTTTATACACTAGCAACAAACACATGGTCAGTAAAATTTAAAAATATACCATTGATAACTACTTGAAAAACTAAAATACTTAGAATAAATCAAACAAAATATGTGCCGATGTTATATGCTGAAAACTACAAAACACTGGTGAAAGAAATATAAATCTAAATAAATAGAGAGACATGCCATTTTCATAGATTAGGGGACTCAATATTTAAAAATGACAATTCTTCTTAAATTGATACACAAATATAATATAATTTCTATAACAATT